GGTTATATAACAAACAAAGTCCTTCAATAAGTAATTATTTAAATTTAGTACTTGTTGAACATAATTGTTTGTTGTAAAGCAAAAAATTATCAATTCGACAATAAAATTAGGTGTATTTAAAATTTATAACACAACTTCCTGTCTTTTGGCATGGTCCACCACATTACTAAATGTAACACTGTTAAAGTTCTAATGAAAACCGGTTTATCGTCTCGTTGATTCGATTTTTATGTATAAATATTAATGTGCTTGACGCTGGAACCTGGAAGTTTGAAATAATTAGATAACCACATCAGTAATTGTTATACAAATTGTACACATTTTTAACCACAATTCCAAAATATGTACACCTCTACCTCTCATCACTCGTGAAATCCAAAATCGATTTTCTGGTGCCAGCATCAGTATAAATCATTATAAAAAAATTAAATATCACAATTTATTATCTTCCAGTATTTTTTCATTGTAAAATTTTACTACCTATACGATAATAACAAATTAAATTTATTGCCTAAATTAAAAAAATAAATAGGCAGAATAGAGAATGCCATGAAAATAGCTGGTGTAGACGTATGTAAAGAATATGTCACATGACACAGCCACCCGGAAATATCCATTTTGGGGGTGTATACATTTTGGAATTGTGGTTATGAATTTGTACAAATTATATAACAATTACTGATGTGTTTTATAATAAAATATTATTGTTTATCTTTGAAAATATAATTTGAATAGTATTTGTGAATTGTGATGACCATCAAGGTTAACGTTAAACATCATTAATTTATTATTATGCATTGTCATAGGAAACTTTTCACACGTCTAGTATTGAAATTAATTAAACATTTAACAATTATCACTCATAAATTATATTTTAAATCTTATGAAATTTATTGACAAATATGATTGAATGTTTAAATTATTATTGAGCTAGGATTGAATAGTTAAGCGTAATACAACTATTGAAGATGGCTGAAATAGGAACTAAAAAGATGCAGGTGGAATCTGAGTTAGCTATATGTATTTCAAACGCCTTTAAAAATTTTTCTTCTGACACTTGTGTTTTAAATGGCTTGAATATGAGTGTACCTTTGGGATCAATGTAAGTATTGACGTTCTTATTATTTTAATCATTACACTCATTACAGCAATAATCAATATTATAAATACAAAAGTATTGTAGGCACACAATGGTTAGGGCTTAATATTATGTATGCGAAAAATATATAGACCTTTTCACTAGTTTTGTCATAAATAGTTTTAAGTGTTTTTTCTAAATCTGGGTAGGACATACCGTACTTTAGAAGTTTAGAGTATTAAATTATTATCTTCAAAACTATAACAAAATATTCAGAAATTTGAGTAGTACGATAATTCTTAATACGGATCACTCTTAATATTATATTAGCAATGCAATTTAGAAATATCTGAAATAAACATTTTTCTTAGATATGGTCTTTTAGGACCAAGTGGCTGTGGAAAAACTACATTAATAAATGTTATTCTTGGAAAGTTTCCTTTGGATTCTGGGAGTATAAAAATAAATCCTAGTAGTTTTTCAGATATTGGATATATGCCTCAAGTAAGAAATTGAATTATTTTTGTATTAATTAAGGTAAGAGTAAATGAATAAGGTTAAATAAAAAGTATTCTTGCAGGACTTGTGCTTAGATTCGATGCTTACCATAGGCGAAACATTTGAATACTATGGTTCATTATATAAAATGAATAAAAGTGATATTTCTAGTAAAAGTAAAGAACTTCTTACTTGGCTCAGATTACCACAGGAAAACGCACTGTTAAAAGATCTAAGGTTGGACATTTATATTCAAATTATAATTGAATTGTGTATATAATATTATACTATATAATTTTTGCGTACATTTTACAAGAATTATTTATGGGTTTTTATAGTGGAGGTGAGTGTAGAAGGGTTTCATTGGCCGTCACATTACTACATGATCCAAAAATCATAATACTAGATGAGCCTACAGTAGGGATTGATCCAGTATTAAGATATGAGTAAGCTGTAACAAATAATACATAAAATGAAGGGTGACATAATTTGGTTGTCTAACAATGAGTTATTACTATTAGAATTTGGCAGAAACTATTGGAAATGGTGAAGGTGCAAGCCAAAACTATTATAATTACAACGCATTATATCGAAGAAGCACACCAAGCACAAACTGTAAGAAAACACAAATATTACTAACATAAAATAAATTAATAAAAATTTCTTTGTTTAAGCATGATGAAAATATTATTTTGAAACTATTTATATTTATTGTATTAAATTTTCTACAATTTTGGACTAAACTGCTAATTTCTATGGACAATTTTTGCTTAGCCGAATATTTTAATAAATCAAGTACTTTCTGACCGAGAAAATTACAGTAAATATTATAACTATTAAAAAATGTTATTTTTATCACAACTTTTTTCCTTGTACATGTGAATATTCAATGTCATCAACATTTTCAATACTCCCCGAAGCGGTCATAAAAATGTATTATATAATACTTAACTTTTATCAATACTAGTAAGGACGTCTTGTATGCAATCTTGTATATTTTTGAGATTCAAACGAATTATGTAAGATTTTAAAACTTAGAAAGCTTATAAAAAAAAACTAGTTAAGCAGGAACCGCACTGCATCAGAGTAGGCGTCGAGTACTCGTAAACGAGACTACCATTTGGGTATATTGTAATATATTATAAGATCGAGCATTGTATGTATTTATAAATTGTATTCTTCAATGAACGATGACAGCAGAAAAGTAGTATTGTTCAAACAGAGCCTCCTCTGATGTCGGTTAAACAGGAGGAAAAAACTATTCTTATCATAGTAGGTTTTATGTTAAGTATAAAATTTAGGTTCAATGAATAGTCATTGTATACGAAAAACGATTCTGAGCTGTGGCGATAATGTTACTACATATATTTTATTATAGCGGGTGTATCTAATGCATTTTAACGGTATTTTAATTGTTATAAAAAAATGTCATTTAAAAAATAAAGAAACACGTTTTTTTTTTGTTTTTTCAAAATCCCATATCATCGATCCATAATCTTTAAAATACCAAGATATAGGCTTACGATACACCCAAAATAGGAATTTAATCTAAAAAAAATGACATTGTGTATAATAAAATACACTAATATACTTAAAAGTTTGAGATCCCAAGTATATTATTTTTTGTCATTCAAATAAAAAAACAAAATATAGTAAAATACAGTACAACAAAATAACTAAAAACCTTATTATTTTTTCTTGTATATCTAATTTTGTCAAAATTTTAACATCAAATGTCTGTAAAAAAATGTGATATTATGTGTTTGACATTTTTTTATGGTCAAAATTGCTTATGAGATAAATTATATTACTTTTCAAGGTGTTTGACTGAGCATATAAACATCTTTGTGTTCCAACATTAAAATACAATTCTGTTGTCTGTAAGTCACTTAAAATTTGACTAAACATTTTGAAAATTTCATTGAGTATAGAAAATGATAATTTAAGCAATGTTAAAATGTTTCAAGTTTCTACAATGGACATTTTTTGAATAGTAACAGAATAATAAAAACCGGTTAAGGACATGAATCGTTGGTATCGTATCGTTACATTTTGAATATGCAATAATGTCTAAAAATTTGAACTTCAAACGCTCATAAAAAATTATCGTCACTTTACGCTAAATTTTGTTTTATTTTCCAGTAAGTGATCTTATGAGAAATGTCGTATCAAATATTTAAACGCTGATTGATAAAAAAAAAAAAAATTTTAATCGAAATTACTACGAAATAATTTGCAAATTTTCGTGATTTTGATGAATTTCCGAAAATATTTTAACTTAAATATAAATTACACAGCATCCTGCAATCGAGACAGGAAGTTCTACTATAGCACTGTGTCGTATAGTGATATGCAGAAGAGCCGATTTTCGTCGGGCCGTGGAGTGTATTCTCTTTGGACAGAGTAGGTGTATGCAGTGCTTGACTTGGAGAAATTAAAGTAGGGGGACTTTGTTTACTTTAAAAAAGAGCGTCTAACAGGGCGTATGACATTGTATTTTCGGTATTATTTATCAGTCGAAAGAAAAATATATGAGAAACCCTGTATTAAATTTTCAAGGGTTTATTACTCGTAAACAGATATTGAACCATATCTATAAATCTAAAACTACAAAAAAAATTTCCATATTTATCATATTTAACCAAAATATTTTGAAAATTATATTATGTTATATGGAAATTAGAAATTACTACCTATTTAATAAAAATAATAGTGTGTATAGTTTAGGTTCCTTTTTTTTTTTTTTTTTTTNGATTTACTTTTATAATCAGCACAAAAACTTACTAATCAAAATCAAAAATCAAAATGTATTATTGAAGTAGTGTCATTGGATGCCCCCTTCTATCACGCCCATATGCCTTGTAAATAATGTTAAAAAATTTACTTATTGTATCAAATGTATACAGATTGTAAATATATTGTTGTTTTTAAAATAAAAAAAATAAAAAAAAAATACTATTACCTAGCTTATAATATACAGGTATCAATCCAAATTGGCCAAAAGGTATCACCGCACAAAAAAATACTGATTAATGTCATTAATCTTGTTAAATAGGTAGGAAACGTCTTAAGTTGGTACTATTATAAGTACCTACCTATGTTTTTCTTGTTTCTTGAATTTCCAATGTCATCAAAATGAAAAAATTTGCACTTCAATCGCCCATACAACATGTATGTGGCTTATTGACATTAAACTTTTATATTACATTTTCAGTGTCTAATAAAAACTTACGAGGAATCTTGTATTAAATTTTAAAATCATAGTACAATGTATAACCTAAACCTAATTTGCTATACTGGAAAACTCCCTACATCTTCATGAAACTTATATATCTCGTTTCACCACTCCGATCAGCATTTAAAATTCAAAAATATTTGTAAATTGATTTTTATTTTTGTTTTACATAGCTATTAAACTAATCTAGGTGATTATTTTAATTTTCAGTATGTGAAACTATGGAATCTGGGATCGGTGCTGTTTTTGGACCGTCCAGTCTTGAATCATCAAACATAGTGCAGTCACTTTGCGAAACTATGGAAGTTCCACGTATAGATACCAGTTGGGAAAACACACCTGTTGAAAATTTCAATTTTTATTTCAATCCTTATCCTGAACCAACATTGCTAGCAAAAGTAAAGCCCCAACATAAACAAATTCAAATTACATAATATGCAATACAGTTTTGAATAAAATTAACAAATATTTATCATTTAAGGGTTATACGGCTATAGTTCATGATATGGACTGGAAGTCATTCACGTTACTCTATCAGCGACCAGAGTGTCTTCAGAGATTACAAGACTTAATACAAGATTACTCGGGAAAAACAAAACCTAATGACAAACAGGTAGCGGCCATCTCCATATTACAATTGCCCGAAGGCAATAATTTTAGGTAAGTTTTGATAGGTATAACATAAAAACTAAGACTATTAAGATCTTCTAATGTTATTTACTTGAATATTACAGACCGATTTTAAAAGACATTAAGAAGTCTTTAGAAGGTCACATTGTACTCGACTGTGATGCAGATTTAATATTAACTGTATTCAAACAAGCAAAAGAAGTTAACTTGTTGGATGACTATCATAGTTTTATCATAACCTCATTGGTGAGAACTTCTATTATCTATTTTTTTAGTGTAATTTGTTTAGTCAAAACTATATGATAGTTTTTTGGTTGTAGGATGCACATACAGTAGATTTTAGTGGTATTGTGCAGAACTTGCGTACAAATATAACAACTGTAAGGTTGATTGATCCACTAAGCCCATTTGTGGAAAATATTGTGAGAGATTTGAATTTTGTTCAACAAAGAATGAACGTAAATATGGAACCTTTGAAAGCTGACAAACTTACTGTTAACTCCATACTCATATATGACGCGGTAAATGTGTTTGCTAAAGCTTTAAAAGGCCTAGGTATGATAAATAAAATCATCACTGAACCACTACAATGTAAGAACTCGCCATTTATCCCCTGGTCCAATGGATTTAAACTTATAAACTTTATGAGAGTAGTAAGTATGGTTTCTCTCATGTTCATTAGCCAGTAAGTAGTCATTGCATATCGTTTTGATGTTCTTTCAGATTGAAACAGAAGGCTTGACTGGTCTGTTACGCTTTGACAACAAAACTGGTCATCGATCATATTTTACACTAGAAATGGTAGAACTGGTTGATACTGGTTTCAAAAAAATTGGCTTGTGGGATCCAGAGAGAGGCATGACTTATACGAGAACCAGCCTTGAAATGCTTCGTGATTTATACGCCGGGAGTAAGAACAAAACATTTATTGTTTCAACAAAAATTGTAAGTAAAACGATTACACATATTGAATGTTTGTGTACATTGTTGACATACTAAATATGTTTAGATGAATATGTTTTTGTTCATACAATTAGTTTTATTACAATAAATTACAGAGTTTTCATATATTTACATTGATAGACTGAGCCGTATTTGATGTTAAAAGAAGGCCACAATAAACTAGAAGGCAATGACAAATATGAAGGATATGTGGTGGATCTTATACAAATGATTGCTAAAGAAAACAACATGACTTATGAATTTCGTTTGAGAAGTGATGGAAATGGGAAACGTGACAAAAAAACAAACAAATGGAATGGAATTATCGGTGAAGTACAAGAAATGGTAAAGCATTTTTTTTTTTTTAAATGATATTATACATTACTTGTCTTCATCCATCATGAAATATTTAAACCTACTATAATTATTATACAATTACATATTAGCACCAAGAAATATATTATTTTACAATGTTATTCTGTCTGTCTGGCTTTCCTTATTCCGTATGAAATACCCAATCTTAGTTAGGTAGCAGTCTAACTTACTTTTACATTGCTTTATTAAAATAGTATCAATATATTTGGTGAAATTAATTTTAAAATCCACTTTATTAAGCAGCAATGATAGACGATAGTTAGACCCCAAGCTTGATAGTGAACTAACCTTTGACGTATTCACAGAGAGCCGACTTGGGGATCTGCGATTTAACAATTACTCACGAAAGAAGGTCTGCTGTGGATTTTACCATGCCTTTTATGAACTTGGGTAAGTTGGGCGCTTTATACCATCCTGTAGAAATGCTTATGTATTTTATGCAGGTATCAGCATATTGTTCAGTAAACCAGAAGAACCGCAAACCAATCTTTTTTCATTTACCCAGCCGCTTTCTTTTCAAGTATGGATATTTACAGCAACCGCTTATTTAGGCCTGTCTCTGGTATTATTTTTCTTGGCTAGGTATGTAAATTTAAATTCTATGTTATTACTTAAGTATAATATATCAGGTAAATATTTTACTGTTTATAGAATTACGCCCAACGAATGGCAGAACCCTCACCCGTGCAATCCTCATCCACAAGAATTAGAAAACTCCTTATCATTGCTTAACTGCCTATGGTTTTCTATGGGTTCCATTCTTTGTCAAGGTAGCGATATTCTGCCTAGGTAAATGTTTCTTGCAATTTAAAAATGGTATTTATAAAAAATAATTGGTGTCATTTCTAAAATTTCAGAGCTTTTCCAACCAGACTATGTGCTGCTATGTGGTGGTTCTTTGCTCTTATTATGACTCAATCTTACACTGCTAACTGGACTGCATTTTTAACATCGAATCGGATGGAAACTACTATAAAAAATGTAGAAGATCTTGACAAAAAGGGAGGCACAGATAGCATCAAGTATGGATGTGTAACTGATCAATCTACAGCCAGTTTCTTTCAAGTAGGTGCAAGGTGCACACTGCACACATATTTATTCTAGACAGTATTAACTATTGGCTATTAACAAAAATATTTACTGTGATTAAATTAATTAAGACTATACCTTTTTTTTTTTTTTTTTTTTTCCTTCTGAAACCGGGAACGGGTGGGAACTGTTTAGCACAATACTGCCACCCGAACCCGTATCGTTTATTCACTAAACAACATCACAAACAAGCAAAAGAAGTATACATACATGGGGGCCTCTAACCACCCTAGGAATTCGGCCTTCGGCCCACAAATAAAAAACGCGCCTGCCTAACCCGCTCTGCATCCTCCTTCCGCCCGAGAATCGCCTCCACCATTCTGCCAAATGCCAACCTCAGACCCTCCGCCATCGCCTCGATACGCCGCCTCCTGGGTGCATCATCTGGGAGGAGCTCCTGTTCCGGTCCCAGGATGATATCCGGCACATCATTAGGTTGTAGTGGCCGGCCGATGCATTGCTCCATCTCCCGTCTGTCTTCTGCCCAGAACGGGCAATTAAACAAGGTGTGCTCCACAGTGTCGTCCGGCTCACCACAGTGCATGCAGTGGGGGTCACCTGCTCTTCTCCTCCTCCATAGGTAATGCTGGAAGCATCCATGACCCGTCAAAGCCTGAGCCATGTGAAAAGTAATGGCTTCCTGATTTGACTGATACATCCACCTCCTGATGTCTGGGATCATCCTCCTCGTCCACGCCGCCTTCTCCGTGTCGTCCCAGATTACCTGCCATTCGCGCAGCGTTGCCTCGCGCTCCTGCCTCCTTACAACCGCCACCATAGTTTAGGTTCCTATGATTATTAATTTTAAATTGTGACAATCTTTTTAGACAAAAGCTAGTTGTGCGTCATTTTTTCAAAGTTTTTTCAAATTATTTTGAAAAGTATAGTGAGTTTTTTTACTTTTATTCACAAAGTAAAAATTAAATCCAATTTTCTACTAGAATCTATTATAAATTTTGAAGATTGAGCTTTTTATCACTTTAAAACATGATGAAAAACGTAAAAATTAAAACTTAATATAAAACACACATCATCGGTACATCGGTACATTCATCGGAGAGGATCTCTAAGACTAATTATTATTATAAATTATAATATAGGTTAAATAAAAGTATCACCTACTAATTAATCGTATTTTTCTTCTCCATTTATCATTATTATTTTTTTTTTTTTACAGATAGGTTTGATGAGAAATGGTGTTTTAATATCAGAATCTTCCCCTCAAGACTTATTGATTAAACAAAATGCCGACTCTTTAGAAGAAGCCTTTTTATCATTATGTTCTGGTCAACAATTTGATGAGGTAAAATAAATGTAATAATTGTATAAGAGTTAATTGTTTATAACGTAAATTATTTTTCATATAGACAACTCAGGGAGCCAATATTTTCAAAAATTCTAACGTATCATCAAACATTTTGCACTCTGATAACGGAATATCATTCATTAGAATTGGTGCATTTATAAAGAAAAATGTAGCCATTTGTTTAAGGGATTTCACGTAATTGCTTTACTTGAGCCATAATAATAATTTAAAATAAAAACAATATTTTTCATAACAGGTTTATATTTTTCATGATCTTATTTCCAATGTTGGCAGCTATTATTTTTAATTTAGCCATTGGTGGTAATATTAAAAACGTTAACATAGCTATTCAAAATAAAGAAATCACCGACTGTCAGAATACTGTGGTTAATCAATGTATTTATGATAATATTAACAATTTCACTCTTAGCTGTTCTGTTTTAAACGGTTTACGAGCTCTAGACTACAATTTGGTAAAATTTGTATTAAATATTACTGTAGTATTATGTTTAAATACATTGTACAACCTATTATGCATAGTTTTATTGTTCAGATCTCAGTTAAAAATCAGGAAGAAGGAGACATTTTAGTGAAAAAAGCTGAATCAGTAGCATTCATTCAATTCCCTCAAAATTTTAGTACGGGACTTCAACAATATGTTCTTGGTTCATGGTTTTCTACCAGTGAATATTCGCCAAATACTGCAGCTTATGCAAATATTGATATTGGAAGTTAGTATTGACACTGATAATATTTATAGAAAATGCGAATAAAGGTACTTTTTATCTTAGGTAATTTAATATTTTTCAAAAATTCACTTTTAAATGGTTGCTCAGTTGTGTTCGACAAAAACTCTTTTTATAAATTAAAATATAATATTATTTATAACGTAATCTGTATTAAAAAATATTTTTTAGGACTTTATGATATGAAATGGTGTTTTTAAGAGTTTTAAATTTTTAGATGTTTTGGTAAAAAGTCAAGTCATTCGAAATCTATTTAATGTCATTGAAAATGTTATTATAAATAGTACACGTTTGTGCAGCGAGAAGCTTGTTAAGCAGCCTTTTGTAAGTATAGCAATATATTTTTTTCAACAATAGAGTAGTACGAGCTTAACAGTCTGAGAATTTTATCAAATATAAAATGTATTCTTATCCAAGTTATAAAAACAAAATATTACTATAATTTATAAGTGAAAAAAAATCCAAAAACTCTTGTTACCTTTTGAATTAGTAACTTGGCATATTATAAAACATTAAGATTTTAAATTCTTATATAATGTTTAAAAAAAGGATTAATAGTTTATTTTAATCTTGAGTTTACTTGTATCAGAAATAATTAAATATCTTTTGAAAATTATGTCAAGACCCATTGAAAATAATTGTAGCTTTATCGTTTAATTCATACAGGTGGTAATACAATTTATAAATTAGAATTATATAACGTATACATTAAAATGACAATTATTATTTGAAACGTATAAAAATATATTGATTACTATTGAAAAATAAACTATGTCATTTTTATATTTTACTGTAGAGAACAACATATTTAGTGGGAAACAAAGTTGAAACATTTATTCATAGTATAGCTACTATGTTTGTTTCGATGTAAGTATATTTGTAATTTAATCATATTTATGCAATTGTGAATAATTAATTAAAAACATTTAGATTCAAACAATTCTGTGATTTATTTATTAATAGAATATAATTGAATCATGGTACTCATTGTCCTTTTTTTCTTGCACATCATACGGCACGCCACTAACGTTTTATTTACTGGTAAAAACAATTGTGAATTATTTTGTGTAAATTAACGCTAAGGTACTTACATTTGTTTAGCATTATATTTAAATATTTATGTATTCTCTAAAAGTGTTATATTACATCGACTCATCACCATAATTATTAGATCAATACTGTCACTCTAACTATTTACCTCCTTGTTCATAGTTGCGTTTAGTGTTATTATAATAACTATTTGTTTCTAAGTATATTATTAATGAAATGTACCTATATTAGTTCACGAAACAACAGATTGTTGGTAATTTATATGTAGGCGTTTATGCTATAGTCTGTAGGTCACGCTATGTGTACTTATGCCTCCAAATTATTCATCTTTTAACCTCATTTAACATTGAAACTGGTTTGACAAGTTTTAAAAGTCTCAGTAATAATATTATGGATCTTAACCAATATATGACATATTATTATGTAACTTTATTAGACTTACATGTTTAAAGATATGTATCTTATTAGTGGTGGTAGCGTATTATAATAAATTTACTTGTTACACATTCTTAAGCAGCTATACCTACATTTATAACTTAATTTTTACCAAAATGTCACCGTTTGTGTTATTTCTAAACAAAAGTTCTTTGCGATCCCTTCTAATTTGTTTATTAAAACAATTGAAATGAATAAGAAACATTTAACAATTTTTGGTTTTCCAATTTTTGGTTTTTGAAATTTAGTAACTTCTTTTAGTGAATAATAGTAAAAATATATAGTATACCTATATATTATATACCTTTGTAGTTGTTAATATTTTTTTATTTAAACTACATTATAATTTATATAAGATTTACATTATAATATAATACATAATGGATAATAATATGTTAGACTTTTTTAAGACGCATAGTCTTAATTTTTCTAGATTTAAAATTTATTATACATATACAACTAAACAGAAGAAAAAAAAAATTTCAATTTATTATTGATTAATTTGTTAAACCTGTGCATATTATATTTTCAGGATAGGATTTTATTTCTCAAGCGTAATATCTACAGGATTTATGTTGACAGAGAAAATGGAAGGATTTCTTGATCGGTCCATGACGGCTGGTAAACAACGAAACAATATTATTTTAATAATAGGTACCTCTACCTACATAGTTATTATAAATGTCGATGAATTGTTTGCTTATAGGGATTACAATACTAGAAGTTGTAATTTCAATAACGTGTATTCAAACTGTAATACACATAATTCAAACTATTTCTGTTATGTTTGTCACGTACTTTGTTTTCCTAAACCCTATCGAAATCACTAATGGACTATTTGCATTCGTATTCATAATTTTATTAACTGGATGGTTAGGTCTACTTTACGGTATGTATCTTTTATTTTGTATTTAGTTTCACTATTTAGTATTTCTGATTATTTTATATTTCATTTCGTATAGTATCTTAAGTATGATTACCACCAATGTTATCTATTTCAGTTTCAAGTTTCAACTAACAGTTGAACTATATACCTACCTGTAGTTACTATTTTAGGACTAAATTTTTGATCTTAAAATGTTCTTGTTTATATATTTAATTACATTGATTTCATATATACTCTAGACAAGGTTGAAAATATTTTATGTATCAGACAAAAATACATTTTTTAATTTTAATTTTAATTTTGCATAATCAAAAGAAATTACATTTGAAACTACTTGTCCTCAAAATTCCTAAGAAATTATTTTGTGCTATTTTATTGTAGGTTTGTTAATCGTTGGGGTATCCAAATCAAGTTCCGAAGCCATGAACATGGTTATTGGTTGGAACATGATGCAGATTTATTTATCGGGTACGTTTATCTTGTGATATTTTTCAAGCCCATACGAATATTTGCACGTAACATAATATTATATATTATCTACCAATTTACTTATCTTTTGTATTAAATTTTAAATTGTTTGTTCATTCCTATAGGTATAATGTGGCCGATTGAAGCTCAAATGCCATTCATGAAAATCATATCTGAACACCTCCCATTGTGCTATATTAGTCGAATATTGAATAATATCGTTTTAAGAGGATGGACACTCGGACACCCGACTGTCTTAATCGGAATAGCAATCATAATTGGTTATGTTTTTTTACACGTTATTATGTTATTGTCCCTAACTCACATCAAAAAAGATGCTTGGTTGGTTAATAAATAATGTTGTGTATTGATTTTATTCAACTTACGTAAATAAACTATAACTAACTTGAAGAATTAATTATATACAGACGTGATGCGTATTTTTTAAACACATTTTGAATAAACCTATTAGCGTTGACTGAACACCATATTAAACTCGTCACATCAATCCATACCCAGCGTCAACTTAGGAGTTCTCAAATTGTTTTTGTGTACTTTGCTTTTGAATAAGCTACGTACAATTCAAATTAATTATATTTATCAGGTATCAAATTCAAATACAACTAATATTATTGATACTTTGTGAACAAAACTACGAGCTCACCACCTACTTGTCTTGCCTAAAGTTACAAACTAAAAATGTAAGTGTTGCACTTGAACCAGTTTTTATTCATATTTTAATGTTTAAACCATTTCATTTTGATTAAACTATTCTTATCTGTATATCTTTGATGTTACAAATTATTGAGAGCAATTAATTAGTCGGATATATTTTAAACAAATGTGCTTATAGTAAACAGAAGTCAATAATTTAACATGTTGCCTTAAAGCTTAGGTATGCATGGTAATAGCATGGTAAACCTTCATATTGTATAAAATAATAATACATAAGGTACTTTAGATTTTTTTGTAATTATGAATATTGTAATTTATAATTGATTAATAACTATGCTGAAAAGCATTGTATTCAATTGTACATGGTTGAAATAAGACCATCAAAACAAAATAAATACACAAATCCACGATACCGGTAGATATTGAAGGACATAGAGTTACTTAGAAACATAATTTTAAGGTGGCGTGCTTAAAATTTAAAAGTCTCTGTACAAGACATATTTGAAACAAACACAATTACTTTTAAATAATGTCATTACTAGTGATCAGAACAATAAATTACTTTTTGCGTTGTTTATTTTCATATTATTTGAATTTATAGTTAATGTTATACTTTTTTTATTATACAACGTTTATATTTTAATTGTATTAATTTCATTTTATTTGAATTTATAATTCATCTTATATTATTGTATTATAACACAATCATTATATTTTGATTTTCGTCATTCATAAATGTAAATATTGTGTTATTAATAATAGTAATAAATGAATAAACAATGCCGCTAGGAGACGAGAAAGAATTATTAAAATTATAGGGTTCATTAACTATATTATTATTTATTAAAGTTTTTTATATATACAGGTGGATATTAAATATTAAGTATGCGTTTATATTACTATCATTGATTATAACTAGTATTAAAGATAATTATACTGAATCTGATTTAAGTAGTATAAATAACTGTAATTAATGGTACTATGATTAAATACGACCGAAAAACCAAATATTAGATAATATAGGTAGGTATTTCAAATATAATTAAATGATAAGTGTCGCCAAATGGAGTTGCTGCAAATTGCTAATGATGAGTAAAAATCAATTTTCAGTAGATAATGATCAACTACTCGTTTATAATACTCGGTAAACATGATATATATTATGATCTATATTTTTCATTTTTAATAATTTTGTTGTAAAAATACAGAATTTATAATTGTAATGAACTTTATCTTTAATTAACCTCAATATATATTATATATTATGTATATGATTATATTTTTATTTTATTCCGTTAAAGTACACAGCAGAACACTAAGATTGTGAGACAGTATATCGTATTATAATAATACGTTTAAACATAATATAGCAATGCCGTATTGACTATATGAACAATGGACACAATATATAAGGCTATAAAATAATTATTTCTTAAGTGTAAGAACTAAGGACTTTCTGTACATAAATCCATCGTACTTACTACCTAACTATTATTGGTTTAGTCTCTACTTTTATGTAAAGATATTTTAATTATTATATTTAATTTCTTCCATTTAAATAAAGGATGTTGAAGTTTTTATAAACAAAATAAACAACATCGACCTTTGTCATTTTTAACATAAAATGCAAATTTTTCATTTTTGGATCCTCCCAGGAATTGTGCCAGGAGCGTAGGCACCTCTCAACCCTCTCTTCCCTTGCTAAGGCTCTGGATCTAAGACCTCATGTTTTAGTGGCTATCCTAAAATACGTTTGTACATAAATTGCTTTTTGGTCATACTTATGATTTTTTTGTTATACATCATGAATATCATTAATACATTGAAAAAAAGATAAATTCATTTAAAAATAGAATTTTTCTGCACAAATCATCATATCTTACGTGTTTAAATCAAAAGTAATTAAAAGTTAATCTTACTGTATTTAAATTCAGAATTTTTAACATAATTATGTATAGTAAAATTACGTTCTTATTTGATATTCCTTAATTTTATTAAAATAATGAAGCCTTGATTTATAATACAATTATAATATTATAATTACCAAATTTAATAAATAGGTACTAATAAGTAAAGTCTATAAGGTCTAGGTCGATAAGCAAGCCCATCCCACTATAGGTAAAAATTGATTGAACTCGATGGGTTCATGAACGATGATAAAGTAAAAACATTTTGGGCCCCGGTAAAAATTAAAAAAAAAAACTTTATTATGCATTAACCCGACCCCCACTCATTACCCATCACAGTGGCTCTCTAGGTAAGCCATCAAGGACATCAAGAAACCTACTCCAGGCACCGTCACTCAAATCACGATTTAACAAATATACTCTTTCTTTTTTTTTTAATGTGTACTACGTATTCTTAAAAAAGGGTTTACTTTTACTTAGCGGTTCGTTAATATTTGAACTGTTGGTATTTCAAATAGGTTTTGTTTATTTTTTTAATAGTTCGTAGTTACTAGTTAATATAAGTTTTTTAAATTCTAATTCGTTACTTATTTAGTTTTAGAATTATTGTTCAGTGAAAATGTTAATGAATATTATCTAGCCGAAAATCAATACTTTTATTAATACTCAATAAGTAGTATGAATAAAATGGAACAAAATATGGAAGAAGAAAACCCAAAGTACGACATAACAGTGACAAATGCCTTTAAGAAGTATGGAAAAAATAATGTATTTAACGGTTTGAACATGACTGTGAAATCCGGTTCTATGTAAGTACTTTTATTATTATAACAATTGAAAATATACTTTTTTAAACAATATTTAAAAAAATATAAAATAAATAATTACATTTAAAACGAAATATATTATTACTAAAACATGCTCAGTGTTATTAATATATGAAATATACATATGATAGGATTTATAAACGTATAGTAAAATATGATAATTGTTATTTGTAAATAAAAAATTATTTTAATTTTTGTTTAAAAGAGAAAATTTTCCAAGGGTTAGTTAATAATATATTCGTCTTTAATGTCAACTCGATAAAATATAATAAGTAACAACAAACATGAAAAAATCTCGTATCCTCGATTTCATAACACTAAAAACTTGAATAAAACTAAACAATTTACCAAACTATATACCAGTTATACCCATACAATGCCGAATTAAAAATGTAAAGATGATTCACGTATACTATGGACTGTAGCTCACACGTATCGCATTCTTAACACTTGAGCATAATTTACTAATAATTTATTATGAACTATTAGGTAGGTAGTTATTATAAAGGTACTGAACGAAATGAACAACGTACCTTTATTGAATTTACAATGTTGTTTTTTTAATAACTTTCTCTAAATAATTTTTCTGGACTATCGGCTAATTTCATACGGCCACTCTAAATCAAGATATTGAAGTTTACTATTAGGCTTGTTGTGCAACAATTTTGAATATTTAAAGTTATTCATATAAATAATTAATAATGTTAAAGATTTATACCATTCATGAAATACAATAATGAAAATGAAAAGATTGACCTTGCATAAAATGGTGTGTTTTAGTATCCGATACTATGAATACTATTAATAGATAAATCTAAAAATAACATATATATATTATTTATATCAATAATATAATAATCAATAAGCAAATGCAAGTGCATAGTATTTACTTACCAATTGCGTAGTATTTTTGTACTAATTGCAAATGACAAACATCATTAATTTTATTTATTTTATTTATTAAATATAATTACAATCATATTTTAATTCTACTAGTCATAGTCGCAGCTGGTTCTTAACAGACAATATGATTTTTTTTATACACTTAAACTGTGGTGTTTTGCATTGAAATGTTTTATTTTTTTTATAGATATGGTCTTTTAGGACCAAGTGGCTGTGGTAAATCGACACTTCTTCAATGTATTTTAGGAGCATTGCCATTAGACTCTGGTTGTATAGATTTTCAAGCAAAAAGTGTAAAAGACGTTGGATATATGCCTCAAGTATAGATTTTAACTCTTTTCTACATATTTAACTGATTTATCAACACTTTTATTTTTTAAAGGATTTATGTCTGGAAGTCACGCTGACCATACAGGAAACGTTTGACTACTATGGATCACTTTATAGAATGAGCAAGAGAAATATAAAAAAAAAATTCGATGAGCTTAATGAATTTCTGCAGTTACCAAGTTTAAATAGTCATCTTAATGAAATAAGGTAAAATATTTTCGAATAAAAAATTAATAAAACTACAGATCATATAGTATGTATTGGAAAAATCAGTCCTCAGACTTTAAATTAATACTGCAATATTAATTCATAAATTCATTATTTTACATCAAGCCTTTTCACATTTATTTGTGTTTGTATTAAATAATATGTTAGAAATATTATACAATGTTTTTGAAGTATTTACTTTTGCAAATAAATGTGTTATGTTAACCATATTTTAATGTAGGTATTTCATATTAAGTAATATAAAATACAAAATTATGTAAATAGGTAATGCTTAACTGATTATCCAATTCAATTAATAGTCAAATACCTCGAATATTGAAATTGCAAAATTATATAGAAAAGTTAAAATTAAAATTACTTTCTATAACTTATAAATTGAATTACTTCAATGTTGTACTATTCAAAACTCATTGGATATAGATCAAGGATCGGTAGTGGTAGTTGAAGGATAGGATTGATTTAGAGTTTGATAAGACCCTGTTTACAGGAAGTCTTGGATTTGAATAAATCAAATTATAACTACATTTTTTTTCATATATTTAAATAATGACTACTAAATTACTGAAGCTATTTTAATATTGATGTTTAGGGTATGTAGGAAGAATTATCATCAATAATATCAACTTAATAGTATTAATTAAATTAATTACTAGGTAAATAATAATTTGTAATAAATTAATAATCATTATTTATTTTTATTTACATTAGTGGTGGCCAGAGTAGAAGAGTATCTCTTGCCATTAGCTTATTACATGACCCCAAAGTTATGGTTTTGGATGAACCTACAGTTGGAATTGACCCTTTACTGAGAGAAGGGTAATACAAATTATTACGATTAAATTAAATTTATTTTTTAATAATATGAAAAATAATTTAGAATTTGGGCTGAGTTTATAAAAATGGTCAAAGAACAAAAAAAAACAATCATAATAACTACTCATTATATCGAAGAAGCAAATAAATCTGATTGCGTAAGTCAATATACTTATAAAGTGATTTATAATATATAGTATATTATACTATGCATACATACATATTATAAAATCTATATGAAGTTGGATACACAAACGTTTATTTATGTTAAATGGATTTTAAATTATGCATTTATCAATTATCTGGTGATTAGTTCATTACATTTGAACGAATCATAATATGTAACAAATATTTATGATATTTAACATAACTCATATGGCACATATTAAATACATTTACCTAATTTTACATTATTTTTTAATTTTGAAAAAGTGTATAATTTATAGCTTTTTGTAATTTAAAATCCTATACTAGTATACTACGAACTTCTGAAATATTTTTTCTATCAATGGGAAAATAATAAAACCAATTAATGAATAAATATAATATTCTAGAATTTTTTTATCGAATTTTAATAAAATATGTTTTTAGGTCGGCTTTATGAGAAATGGATTAATAATTGAAGAAGGGCCACCTCAAGATATTCTTGTGAAATATGGTACAGATACATTGGAATCAGCTTTTTTAACGCTTTGCTGTAATCAAAGAGCAATTACTGAAGTACTGTACCTTGACATATTTAAGTATAAATATATATTATTTATGTGTTCATATTGCATAGGAAGTTACAATACAATAGGTACATTCATGCACCTTAATATTGTATTTTGTAAGGGTAGGTAGTTTAGTGTTATCATCACATACCTATGTAAAATTTGAAAACTTACATCAATGATTTAAAGGATGATGAAACACTATCGCTATTTTTTCTCGTGGGTCAGCACATGGGGGTGAATCGTTTGTACAATACTTACCCTCATGTAACATCGTTTATTGAACAAAAAAAATTCAAATTACAGTACACAGTTCAACATAAAAAACAATAATACAACAAATAGAGGAATTCAGCCGTTGCCATGACTACCGTGATTACCTGCCCCCCTCGATGCCCTAGGATATATAGTGAAGAGTCGTGGTCTGTGGCACCTCAGACGTCGATCCAGTTTCTCCTGGCTCTGTCTCAATCGCTTTTCGTTCTTTTCTTTTTTTTTATATTATTTCCTCTATAAAATAATCTACATTATTCCTATATAAACACCTATGTTTTTTAATAATTATTGGCACAATTTAAATATTTGTTGTGGAAACCTTATTATAACTATAACCTAATAATATTTAATATTATTCAATATTTAATTCTTCTCTATTTATATAATTAAATAGCAACTAGCTGTATTATCTGTCTCTGTGAAAATGAATTTATCTCTTTATTATCATATTTCGTTTCCGTTATATATTCCAATACCTACGAAAAAAAGTAAAATTCGGTGAATCCCTTTCGAAGTATACCTAGGAAATACGGTTTAATGTATCTGTGTGTGTTTCGTGCAATATTACAATTAATTGTGTACGTTTAAACATTATAGAGTATACAATTTGAAATTTGAATACTTTGCATTTGTGATACATAAGATGAATTAATAAAACATAAATAATAAAAATAAAATCTTAAATAATTCAAGAGTCAATTTTTCAAAACTGTGCGGTAAACGATGTTTTTTGTCATGTTAATAGTCTATTCACATATACATTTATATGCATGCTTACCTCAGAATACGCGAGAAATAATTTACCGTGAGAAAAGCAATGTTTTTCTAAATAACCTATACTTATATTAAGTTTCCATGAAATAATAACAAAACAAATTACCTATATCGAATCATAATAACTATTTTTTTTACTTAACCAATGACAACCCTTGTATATATAAACAAAACAATTTTTGATTTTTGTGTGCCGAAATTAGTGTGTTTCCTGATAAACTCCCACATTGTGGTAAAACAGTACCATATGCACATTTCAAACGATCACAGTTTTGGCTATACGTAAACTGACTCATTAAGATATCTTATTTTATATACTATACATATGATGTATATAAATACAACTATTACCATAGGAACACTGTAAACAAGGATAACAAAATAATTTATATTGGTATGGCTACGATGTCGCATGTTATATCGTTGCTCCACAAAATATATGCTACACTAGTTCACTACTATAGTAGTAGTAAATGACCAGAGCATTGAGTCGAAGGTCAAACTTTCTATGTAGTGATGTCTGTATAAAATGTAGTTGTACATTAAATGTTTGTACACTTAGGCTAGGATCGAATACAATGACATTTTTTCACTATTAATTTAACACATTGTGTAAGAAACTGCGGAATACGTTACATTCCATACATTAGTACTTGCGAGTTTATTTAATGCACAAAATTCTTTCACAGTTCATAGATATTTTGAACAAAGAAACATGGTTATAATATGTCCCAAAATAAAATAAAGCTCAACAAATTAATACAAATTCCAACACTTAGCTGTATGACGATAATATAATACTATCATATGCTTTGCTATATTTATTTTCAATGATCGTGTCTTTCGTGCAATGATTTATAATTGGTTTCAAACTATTATTAATTATAAGACTGCCTTGTTGTTGTACCTACCAGTTATTTCCATACTTTTATCTATTTAGAAAGTCAACAACACTGTCCAAGTAAAAGAACAAATTGTACAAAAAAAAATATTGGAATCGGTAAATGTCAACCCGTATAGAATTAAAGCATTGTTAAAAAAAAATTATCGTGTATGTTCACGAGATTATATGTAAGTTTAACTTAGATATTATTCTGATACAATGGATTACTAGATGATACTAATTAGTATGGTATAATATAGGTTGTTATTTACTTTGGTCTTACTTCCCATAATACAATCATTCAATTTTTGTTTTTCGATTGGAGTACCATTCAAAGACATGAAAATAGCTTTTAAAAATGATGAGATTAATAATTTAGATTGTCAATATTTAAATGTTAATCGATGTATTTTGGACGAAAATAGCAATCAAACAATGAGTTGTGTTATTATGAACTACCTCTCATCACATGATTATGAATTAGTGAGTAAAATATAAAAATTACGTTAATGTATCTAACTTAAATCATTATAATTTGAGGAGGTTATAGAGCATTGAGTAAGAAGAGATTTTTCAATGTGGGTTTAACTTCAAGGGATTTTATATCTAATTTATCCATTTAAATTATAGGTCGAAGTACAAGATCGGGAAGTTGCCGAAGCTGGGATAAATCATACAAAGTATATTGCTTTTCTATATTTTCCTAAAAACTTTACAAGTGGATTGACAAAATATATTAATGACCGTCAATATTTTGATTTAGAATCTAGAGTTTTTGCTCATTTATCAAATGAAAGTAAGTATAGTTCAAATGCTTATCAGTAGGTAAATTAATACATATCATTTTATCGTTTCTTTAATGTATAAACAATTTATAATTTCAGATATTTTGTTTAGAAATCAAATTACGGGAGATGTGTTAGAGTCAATCAATTATCTAGTTATGGAAGCATTAAATAGTTGCTCTAACAATCCAATATCAATCAGTGTACCCTTGGTATGATATACCTAACAAATAAGTTTAAAATTTAAATATTATATGTTCATGGAAATAATCTATTCTTATCATACATTCATACTTCAGCATGTATATGGTTATTATTTATTGCACGCAATAAATATTATTTGCTAAATAGAACTTAGAGGTAATATCCTTAAGTCATTAGAGGTAATATCCTTAAGTCATACATTCTGGATATCGATTAGTTATTAGATATACTATCTATATTATATTTCTGAGGACATATTATTTCAGTATTGCTATATTATAATATGCAACTAATCTTAACCATTTATATAAAAAAATCTCATGGAAATATATTAATTTTCTGTTTTACCAAAATGTTCCATTTCCCAAACGACTTTTTCCATTTTTCTTCCCGTAAAAACATAATTTAGAATATTACAAACATAAAAAAAAATGTGAAAAATCGGTCAAGTAGCTCTTGATCAGCTTCTCAATAATTTACCAATGATTAGCTTTTAATTTTTCTTTATAGATTAATACCTACGTGTTTTTCATGTTTATGTTGATTTATTTGGAAGTTAAAAGTTGTATAGAATACTATTAATTAAACTAAGAGTATGAGTTTTAACTCACAAAAACATATATACGTACAATATAGTTAAGATTTGTTTTATAATTGTCGTTTAAATGTTTTAAATTTTAATATCTAACACACAGTGTAGTTTCTTTAGACCAATCAATTTTTTCTACATATTTTATTCCAAAAATTATATTGTTGAGTGTGCACCTATTGTGTTGTTTAGTTTTAGTTTTGTGTTTAATAAGGTGAATTTATTTTTGTTGTAGGAGTTCAATATTTTGCTTGGAAAAGAAGTTAAATCATTTGCCAATAGTACCGTTTCTCTCTTTATAGCCATGTAATTGTTTTATTTTATACTTAACTAACAATATTCATTTTTTTAAATTACAAAATATAAAGTTTATAATTAAATTAAGAATTATTAAGATATGTTTTGAATCTTTAAATATGATTCAATCAATGAGAGGTAGGTACTAAATTCCCAATCCACTGTGGCCTATACTATAAGCCATAAGGTAATCATTATTATCGTTAAAAATATATCATACTTAATTCAACTATAATACATTGTTGTACAACATGTTTACTCATTAGTAAATATAACGTCACATACTCGTAATTTTATGTTTAATACAATTTATGCAATTTCATGAGTATATTAATTGGATCATAGATTTGAATAAAGATTGAATTAACTTATTATTTATAGACGTGTAATTTACTTTATACTTTGTAATGAAAAAAATATCATAAAAAATGTGGAATAATGAATAATTTGTTTGAAATAATTATTGTTATTTTATTTTTAGGGTGGCATTTTACTGTCCAAGCGTATTTGCTGTAAGCATAATGATGTCGGAAAAAATGGACGGACTCCTTAGCCGATCAATGTTTGCAGGTATCTGAACACAAATAATTGTACACCTATAATTTTATATTTTTTTAAATACAAGCAATAGTGTTATATTGGTTTCAGGTGTCAAAATATTGGAATTGTTAATTTCTATGTTTTGTATCACAACAGTGTTACTTTTGTTACAAACGAGTTTCTCCTATTTTATTTCACATGTTTTATTTTCAAATCCAATACAAATCACCAATGGATTGTTTGTGTATGTGTTATTATTACTACTATTGGGATGGATAGGATTTTTATATGGTAAGTATTTAATTATAGATATATCTTATTTTTTCATATTATATACCAGGGATGGCAAACCTTTTGACACCTGCGTGCCCAAAATTAGCTTTTTTTTTTTAGAGCGTGCCGCGAAAAAAATTATATTATGTTATAATACCTTTAATTCGATTATATAATTAATGTATAAAAAGGTTAGCTTAGGTACATAATAATGACCGATAAAAGCCGTATGCTCAAAATATTTTTACCCATACCTATATTCTATAATTTATAATATTATATATTACCTATACAATATATAATAGTAAAAATTTTCGCGTGCCATGGATTTGCCGTCCCTGTTATATACTGTAGTAAATGAATGAAGTTAATTGTTGTGTTTTCATAATGCAATTCGAACCAATTATTATAATTTACTGTAACACAAATAATGTTATGATAATTATAATATTTTGTTTTTTAGGTTTACTTACTGCTGTAATATCAACTACAAAATTATTCGGTGTGTACATTATAACCGGATCATCTTTGACTCAGTTCATATTATCAGGTAAAAAAACTACTCATGTAAAATCAAACAAACTGCATGGATAAAAATATATAGACATTTTTATTTTTGAAATTTAGGGACCTAAGCAAGTTCTTAAGTTCATGAATAACGCTTAGTGCATACCTACTCATAAGTTATAGTTATTTAAGACGTTTATTATTTGTATGGTGATATGAAAAAAGTATGTTATGTTATGTTATACTTAGGTGGAATATGGCCTTTGGAAGGACAGCCCCCATTATTAAGACAAGTATCCAAGCTAATTCCTATAAGGCTAGTAGGAAATATGATGAACGACATAGTAATAAAAGGGTGGACATTGGATCATCCATCAATCTTAACAGGAACTTCATTGACGGTTTTGTATAACATATTATTAATACTTGTATTAATCTTATTAGGAAAGATAAAAAAAGACTTATGGGTTATACAAAAATAGACAGTTATGGCACTATACATAAACAATACTTCGGTAATAAAAAAACAATGTTTTGTATGGTAATATAGTTAACAGCTTTTTTAATCACAAAGGTAATTTTTTAATACGATGTATAACTATCTGCATTATACTTTTAATTACATTTTATTTTCAAATAGTTTAATTAAATTAGTAAGTATTACGATTTATAGTATTATTATATAAAAAAATTCTTAAAAATTTAAAATTATTATGCCATTATTATATCATGAATTATATTTTCTAGATAATTGTATAAGTGATACTCATGAGTTATGAAATTATTTCAAATATAATAATGACTAAGTGAACACATTATTTGTTTTATGAAACATAATTATGAATTTTAAATATTATTATTGTAATTTCAATTATCTGACATACTAAATGTAATATGTTTTTATGCACTAATAAGTACCTATAACCTATATTATATTTTGTCTAATTTTATAAACGTTGGTGAACAAATGACTGTTTGAAATTGTGGTAATGAAAACTATTTTCCATGCGGATTATTTTTAACTAAATTATATGAATGTGAATGCAAATTGATAAACTTTCAATTTATAGATTAAATTTGTGTATTAAAATGTATTGAAGTTGCATTGAAGTTTTTGTATGACTGGAAGAACTAATTTATTAAAATTAGGTGTATAATATTTCAATTTTCAATAAAGGCAGTTAGGCATTTTTATTTAGGTACAATGTATATTATAAACTATGATGTTATTTGATTGAATATTTATTTGAACAACAAAACATAACTGTACATATTGTAAATGTATATATAATATTGAAAAATAAACAATATTTTTAATATTAAAATGAATGTATATATTTTGTATTATTGGGTTAATTTAATATATTTCTTTTTATTTTATCTATATTATTTAGATACCAATTGGTCACTCAATTTGATTTAATATATTGTTTAAACTTTTATTTATTTATACAAGTTTTCTATCACTTTATTGCATATTTTTACTGTGGCTTGGAATGGAAGATAATATTGTATTGTAAATTGTATTTCCAAACGCTATATAGTATAATATGTAGACAGATATATTGAACCATATAGGCACATATTTATCATAGTGGTTTAAATACATGCGGAAAATACCTAAACGCACGATGAAATATGTACTATTTAGTATATTTTTATGACGAATTTGAAAAGTTATAATTGCTGTATAAAAATAATATATATTATCCACAAGTTGATCCCAAAATTGTAGAGTCTAAAGTAAGTGTCCTAAGTAGGATATTGTTTAATTTTTGCTTTTATTGTTATTTGTTTCCTACCTAATAGATACAATTAGTTTAATTTGATTGCTGTACATACATTATACAATCATCGATTGAAAATGTTGACTACTTAGTTAATATTTCAAAATATTTTTTTATTTGATTTTCACATAAGATTTTTTCCTTAATACGAAGAAGTATGAAAAAATTGGGTAATTTACGGTTTATTGGTTTTTAACAAAATCGGTTTTAGTACAAAGTTTACGCTTTTCTATACTAATTGAATAATACACAATGAATTTCTCACGCCAATAATTATTTTTCATTAATTTTAGTGATTGAAATTATATAATATGAATATAAGTATTACACTTGATTTTAAAACTATAAGTTCAAATACATAATCATTGGTACCGGACTCATGTATCAAGGGTGGGTGGGTGTTGGGATGGTAGGTAAATCTGAGTATTGAGATTTAGCAATAAAATTGTTCATCAGTAATTCTATAAGACTATAAATATTAGTTATATGCTGCAAAAAATTGTAAACAGCAACACAAAATATTCCTTTTCAAATTTCAAAGCACTATAATTTTAGCTGACATTTGCGTAGTAGTGTACAAAATATGAATAAATAAAATTGTCATCGTACATTTCCAATTACCAGAGATCTATGGCCGTCCATGAGCATAATTTCTCAACTCGCTAGTCGCTAGACACGGATGTAGATTTTTCTATTTAATCGTTATAATATTATATGAATACTATATGTATATGTTTGTAGAAAATATTTCTAGCACAAACGTGAAAAGATACACAAGTATTATCGAGTCAGTCACTCAGTGTTGAAAGGGGATAGAGGCAATAGTCAAAGAAAACAATCCATGTGCTATGTATGTTTGGTGGTCTAGGCACATCGGCTGAGTTTAATAATTATTGTAGATGCAGTAAGTAGTTCACAGAAGCAAGATGCCTGTTCGGTAATATAGTAAGTTGAATTCATTTTTTTAGTTTTTTATTCAACATAAAATTATGTTTTGACAATAATTCAGAAGAAAAAGTAAAAAAAAAAATGATTATGTCTTATGCCCAACTAACTCAAAAAGAGTTTAAATATTTTGAAAATTTACGATGAAAAGGAAATGCTAATATAAACATTCGGGGAATATATATGTATACACAGTTATGTTTTTAGATTTACACCAAAAAACAAAATCAATTTTGGACAAAATTGATTTTTTTTGGTTTTTCCCAACGTTTTTAAAAACTACTAAGCATTTTCAATTTTGATTTCCTGAAGTATCAATACGATTCATAATTCCACTATAAAAGATACTGAAGTTGGAAATTGAAGGATTATTTTCACCTTATTCTGTACACAGACACAAAACAATTTTTTTTATTATATGTTATTATAATTGTATAATAAATTTAGGATTTGTGTTATATATATGGATGAGGGCCGGGGGAATTGTTTTGGACGAAGCCCCATTTGTCTCTGTTTTAATTGCTTGTGTGATTAGTTACTTTTGAATTCTATTTCTCCCCTCCCCCAAATTCGTTTTGTTGTATGTCTTGTGATAAAATAAAATCATAACCTTTTTTACTAATAAATCTCTGAATAAAACATTAAAATTAAAATGAACACAGTATTATTGTGTATAACATTTGTAAATCCTTGCATAAATCAAATATGGTCATCCTGTGGTCGAACGTAATAAGTAATAACTGCATATGTATTGCTGGTATATTGTTATAAAATGCATACCGTTTGATACCTCTCATATATTTGAGACAAAAAGTCTCATTTTGACTCTCTAATCGTTGAACTTGCTTCCTAATAATCCTTCACTCCACCTTAAGAGAAATTGGTGTTGTGATTTACTATACGATTTAAACAACAAATTCTAACAAATTATTTAATTTAATTTAAAATATTAACGTTGGGCTCTATCATTGGATGTCTTCCTTCCTCACGTGTTTCATGTTGTAAAATTATTGATTATACGTTCAAATTTGTTAATTTTGCCTTGTATCACAGATTGTATATATTCTTTAAAATACAAAAAAAACACGATACATTAAAAATTTCAACATCTTATTCTCGTAATGCATCAATAAACTTATTTTGAACTCAGGTCATGAACATTACGGGTTTATATTGTAAAATAAAAAAATATATTTATTATGAATGTTTATCATTAAATTTTAATTGTGTAAGTATAAAACTTTTTTGTAAAATGTTGTTTGTTTGTTTTTTTTTTTTTTTGTACTGGTTTCGAAATATACCCGAATATGAATCATTAAATATTAATATGGTTAAATATCATAATTATAATTAAAATAAATAAAAACAATTATACTTCGGGCTCCATGTAAGAAACTATTTTGGGTGAGTACCTAATAGATTCGTTATTTAATTACATTTGAAAGTGATTATATTCTAAGGCAAAAAAAACGATGAAGATTTATATTGCTATTATAAATTTGAACGATTATAATCAAATTATGGATTCAAAACTAAATAATTGAGTGCCATAGATAATTTTAAAATATTAATGTTATTTAGGTATTATCCGTGTATCTTAATATAATAATTCTCCATAAAATGAAATAGAATCAACTGCTATTATAAAAATAATTTAGTTGATTTAAAAATTAAACAAACAAATCTAAATGTTGTATAATTCAAATCATTTTTGTTCATGTATTATTTTGCCAAATTTTATATCAAAACTAATTTTCTTGCCAAAAAATTTAGGAAAAATATTAAATATTCTTATTAATATACATATCTATTATTTTCATCTTTTTGTATCAGTAAATTATGAGTGGTTTCTTTCTCTCACTACCAAATAATTTTTGCTCTATAAAAAAACTAAAAATTTTAATACAATATTCATCATAAGTTGTTGTTAGGTTATTAGCGAATAAAAAAAAGTTAAGTGTAGGTATATAGTATACACACAATCATTTTGTTAACATTTTGAATTCAAATTTTCACGACATTAACTATTCAATCGTAGAGTAACTTCCCCCCTCCCACCGAATGGTTTTTAATATTTCATTTCAATTCAAAAACGAACAGCCGTAAATACTTGACAATTTCATCTGATATTTATATGTAATGTTTAATGTAATATAAGGTTCCTTATAAGTAGTTATAATACTGAAACTCAGATTTAAAAAAAAATATAGGCACAATTTTTTAAGATATTTGGTATAATATTTGAATGAAATTACATATTAAAAAAAAAACGACATAAGTTATTTTGTTGTAATTCAAAAACATTAATCACGGAGACTTAAAACTTTTACGTAGATATATTATACATTTTACTATACACAATGACATTTTCAAAATATTTTTATTTATTTTAACCCATTTATACCTAATCCATCTAAACTACTTTACAAATTTAAAACACCTTTTGTGCCTAATGGAAACCTCTAATTAGGAAAATTGTTAGATCCGATATATGGTTTATACACGACTACCATAGTCACATTACGGACCTATCTTCGTTTGTCACTTAGGTAGCATTAATATAATTCACACCTTTATTATTATGTTCAGTTCTTATTCAATTAATTAGGGTTGTCAAATAAATTATCTGTACCTACAATTTGAATTGTAAATTTAAATGGTCCACATGGTATATAAGTATTTCTTATAAAAATAAAATATTCTACATACTATAGAAATGTGGGTGTTTAAAACGGCGATAAATCAGTGGGAATGTGTGTTTAAATTAATTAATTCTTTTTTGTTAATACATTATATTCACCACGATACCATGAAT